ATAAATTACTTATAGAAATGATTTATTTTTATACTATTTCACAAAGGTTAACGCGTCATCTTTAAAGGTAGAATATATATAATATTATTTTAGTTAAGAAAGAATAAAAACTTACTCACAAAAAAATTGTTTTTAAATAATTATCTCGCTTCCATATGTTTTTATCTTTAAAGATTAATAAGATATAGTTATTACCATCGCCGCTGCTTTAATTGTCGTAATAGTCCACATGATCGCCCGCGTTGTACTTATGTTCTTTCAAGATTTCCACAAGACGATTAACTGTCTGTTCTGTAGTCAATACAGTATTGGTTTCACGCAAGTGTTCAAATGTTTTTCTACTTTCGGGATTGGCGATCATTCCGCGCACTGTTTGAAACATATCTGTATCGACGGGTCCTGGTGCATAACTTAATACGTTAACATCAGGATTTTCTAAGGCAAAGACCTATAGGAAATTAAATAGTGTATTAATAACTTGCTAAAACAATATGATATCTATGATCTCGTATATGAAATGCAATAAAAAATTGTACACATATACAATACCTTAAAGTACATTTCCCGTGCTGCCTTCGCCGAGCAATAATAACCACAGGCCATGTTTGCTTGAATAGCAAACAGAGACGTAATATTTATAACCACTTTCTTAGTATTTGTACTATTGTCAAACAAATTCATAATCACCGCATTCAAAATAGTTGGCAGGAACAAGTTTAGGGTATAAAATTGATTCCAGACATCTATATCCACCATCTCATTTACAAATTTTGTGACATCGCCGATAGTACCTACATTATGCACTACGACCACTCGATCAAATGCGTCGCGAGTGGTTCCATTTAGGCATCCCAATATGGTCTCTAAAATAACATGGAGAAACAAAATATTCTAACAAAATTGTCTTTCCAGCATACTTGTTACCAATATAGTTACTTTTAAAGAAAAAAAAAAAAAAAAGAACTACAACTCACCTTCAAAATCGGTTTTCGTCACTTTCGCTTCACCAAGATCTATACTAACAGTATGAACTGTCACTTTGGATGGTATATTCTTCGCGACTTCTTTTAAATCATTTAGGTTTCTTGCTAACAAAAGAATATGCGAGCCCTCCTGCAGTAGCGAACCGAATGTTATCGCGATTTGACGACCGATACCACGACTCGCACCAGTTACCACTAAGAAAACTTTACCAGATAGTGCTTCAATCGACATGGTGTCTTATATTGCAAAATTATAGAAGTTAATTATTGTCTTTCGACTTGTCAGTATGTTCTGTCGACAGTTGATTTGTTTGTAATTCTTCTGTGATATTCTGTTGTTGCTCGGCTTCTGTGGTTGTTTGTAGTACGTCTGCCTTCAACAGATGAACTAATTCGCTAGCTGTTAAAGCCTGTGTATGAGAAACATAGTTATTAGTTACATACCATAAGGTGACAAATATAAGTTTGCAGATAAAATTCTCTTTGTGAAATATAATATAATTTAATTTTTTGAAAAATTATATTGACTAAAATAAATATATACATTTTTATATTGAATAAAAAACAATTTAGTTATTATTCTTATTCAATTTGCTCACTTGTAAATGTGGGGCTATATGTCGTATCAGAGGATTTGATGCCAACTCAGCTTCTTCCTCAGATTGGGGATTATTTCCGGAAGTAATTAAACGTGCAATGGAATCCTCCTTTGCTACTGACAGTGATGTTACAAGGTCCTTTTTTGTTGTACCTCCTTGAAGAACTCTTAATCTAGAATCTAGTACATTTACCAAAAAGGGTTAGGATCGAATTATAGAAACTAATGGCGATAACTGTGAATAATTGTCGATTTTCTCCGAACGAATTATCTCGCTTATCTCTGACGTTATTCTCATCTTTCATTATCTTTCGTTTATCTTATTTTTTTCTCCATATCGCGCGCACAAGATGTTTAAAAAAAAATTATAATTACGCAAATTCTTTTCTATATCGTTTCAAAATAAGAATCGTATATTTTTCGAGATCTCGATAGAGAGGAAGTGAAACGAGAAGTTGCAAGAAGAGGAAGAATCTTAGAAAGCGGATACGCCTATTTTACGTGTAATCTGGGCTGCGTTCGAGAAAGTCAACCGGGTGCACTCGATATTATGGAAGTGATATTCTCGAACGCAGCTCTGAGATGAAGAATATGTCTTACAGAGTTTCTGCAGATACTGCTCCGAATCGGACAATCGTCGATGATCCTTATCCAGGAAAGAGTCCTCGAAACGATCGTTGGGCGTGTTATCGTTGATTGCCGTTTGCACAGCTGTTCCGCACCAAGGATCGTTGGTGTCCGTCTTCATTTTACAACGCGTGCTTTCTTATATATGTTCCTCTATATCCTTGACAAATCCTGTGCACACTTTCCTTTTTCTTGCCGGGAGAACGCTGCAAAGCTGTATTAATCGGTAGGAGCGAATAATAGAGGTGTGAACATTGACAGTTCGACGATGAAAACTATGGCTGCGTTCGGGAAGCACGCTTACGCGCTAAAATCGTAATTCTATCTTTGTTGTTTACTGAAAATTGAACAAGGACAAAACACGCTCATGGCGCTAAAAGCGTGCTGCGCGAACGCACCCTAAATCGTTACTTTACCATGCTTTACACCATCTGATGTAATCATGGAGTAATAAAAACATGGACTTATCGATACCAAGAGTGAATAAACAATGTTTTCCTAGCGTTATAAATTTATAATGGACATTCTATCAATTTCTGCATTTTAAAGTAGATATGCAATAAATTATAATTATTAAATATAAGAAAATTTTATTCTAAAATATTCTATTAGGAATTCATTAAAGTGCATGTGTCTTGTTAGATTTACAAGATCTATATGATATATCGTTTAAAGATACGTTATGATAATTATGGTAATTATTTTTTTTCATAGAGAAAACTACTACGCACACAAAAATTTGGAGGAATATTTTACTCAAAGATATATATATATATA